CTCTCCCTTATATCTCTGTCTCATTAGCTCTGTGTCTATATCTGCGTCTGTTCATTTCACTCTGTTTGTTCTATCCCATTCTGTCTCTCTGTCTGTCTCTGTTCTCTATCTGTCTGTTCACACATCCCTCTCTCTGTCTCTTTCTCCCTCATTCCACCCTACTCAACAGAAACTGAAGTACAAAGGTGACATTGGGTTTAGATTTTGATGAGGGTGTGAATCCATATTGGACGGGTGTGTGTTGAATTGATTTGGTTTGTGTCTGTTTCTGTAGCTCAGTTCCCCAGCCTGCAGAGTAAAATGCGGGTGATTCTCCGCGTAGAGGTGGAAGCAGTGAAGTTCCTGAAAGAGGAGCCTCACAGGTTGGATATCCTGTTGAAGCGATGTAAGACTGTCACCGATGCCCTTGCCACGTTGAAAAGGTAATGGAATGGACACTGATGCCTGTTAGAGAAACATAGAAATCACAAGAAGTGCCGCCTCTTCAGTCTGAATTCAGAAATGTTTGTACGACCCTGAGCATTTGAAGCCAACAGCATTTCCTTATTGTTGGGGCCAGCACTGGAATTTGTTGGAGTTTAGAACCCAGTTGTGGATTGGGTGAATTGTGACCATTTCCCATTGAATGGGCCCCAATGATTCAAAGAGTGTCCCAGCAACAGGCCAGGGATCAGTGTTCCAGCACAAAGCCACCAGCCCCACTCGCTGCCTGGGCCTGACTGCAGTGAAACACCGTCCTATGAAGGGGTACCCTCTAGGCCCATAACCGCTCCACCTTCCCACAATAGCCCAGGGGCTTGGATACTACCCACTGTGTCATATAAAGGGAATAAAGGGAAAATCACCACAGTCTCAGAGGACCATAGGACTACTCTCACATCACAGAGAGGTGACTGTTGATGGTTTAACCTGAGGGTCACCATGCCTCAAGTGAGGGGAGAGAGGTTGAGAAGGAGGGTCCTTCATGGTAATTTGAGCTGGGGGGGAAGGGGTATTGAACCCATGTTGTTGGCATCCCTCACCAGCTGTCCAGGCAACTGAGCTAACCGACTCCTCTGTGAAGGCAGTATCCTTCAGTGAAAACCAAGGGGTGTACCCAGCTGCACCTTTCTCATCTCAGTACCAGCCCTCGGCGTTCTGATAGTGTCACATTCCAGACTGTTTCCAGAGGCCGGAACTGGAGCAACACGGGACTCTCGGAGAGTCAGGGACTGGAGAAGCTGACCATCTTAGGGAGGGCTGAGGATATTAGCAGGATTTGAAAACAAGGATGAGACTTTCAAAATTGAGTCCATGTGGATGAGTGAGCACTGGGGTGATGGGTGAACAGGACTTGGTACAGAAAGACAGTGTAAAATCATCAGGTTGAGGAGCATTTCAACTGATTCCTGGAACTCTGGCTGGGGATCCCTGCACCAAGTTGCAACGTGTTGCTGTGACACTGACTTAGGACAGTGTGGTCACTCTGGCCTGTGGTCACTGTCCCAGAGAGCTCACTGCATTGAGTCATAGAGTCATAGAGATGTATAGCATGGAAACAGACCCCTCGGCCCAACTCGTCCATGCCAACTCTATATCCTAAACTGACCTAGTCCCATTTGCCAACATTTGGCCCATATCCCTCTAAACCCTTCCTATTCATGTACCCATCCAGATGCCTTTTAAATGTTGTAATTGTACCAGCCTCCACCACCTCTGGCAGCTCATTCCATACACGCACCACCCTCTGTGTGAAAAAGTTGCCCCTTAGGATCCTTTTAAATCTTTCCCCTCTCACCTTAAACCTATGCCCTCTAGTTTTGGAATTCCCTACCCTGGGAAAAAAGACCTTGACCATTCACCTTATACGTGCCCCTCATGATTTTATAAACCTCTAAAAGGTCTCCCCTCAGCCTACAAAGCTCCAGGGAAAATAGCTCCAGCCTATTCAGCCTCTCCCTGTAGCTCAAACCCTCCAAACCCAGCAACATCTTTGTAAATCTTTTCTGAACCCTTTCAAGTTTAACAATATCTTTCCTATAGCAGGGAGGCCAGAATTGAATGCAGTGTTCTAAAAATGGCCTCACCAATATCCTGTATAGCTGCAACATGACGTCCCAACTCCTATACACAGTGCACTGATCAATGAAGGCGAGCAAACCAAACACCTTCTTCACCGCCCTGTCTACCTGCGACTCCACTTTCAAGGAACTGTGCACCTGCACCCTGAGGTCCCTTTGTTTGACAACATTCCCCAGGGCTCTACCATTAATGTATAAGCCCTGTCCTGATTTGCCTTTCCAAAAATGTAGCACCTCACATTTATCTGAATTAAACTCTTATCTACCACTCCTCAGCCCGTTGGCCCATCTGATCCAGGTCCCATTGTACTCTGAGGTAACCTTCTTCCCTGTCCACTGCCAATTTTGGTGTCATCTTCTTACTCTTTCTTTCTCTTATTCAGCTGTTCGCCTTCCAACTCGGCCTATTCCACAGATACCTGCCAAAAGCGGTTCAGCAGGTAAATGTGCCTGTTTTTTACCCTCTCACCCTGAGGAGTCCAGTTGCCTCCTCCTACCACCCATACCCTGAGTCCCTGTGATGGTTTCTGCTATGTGTCCCACTGGTAGCTACTTGTTCTGATGTTCTATCCTTCCTGCTATTCCTCGATAACCCTTTTCTCCTTCCATCGCTGCCTCAAACCCTTCCCTTTGTTATATTTATTTTTTACAATGCATCAGGCCAGAATGTAAATCCTTGTTTTCCTCACTTTAGTATTGTTCAGTCGAGGCACTCTGTTTGAAGAAAGAAAGATTTGTATTTATATTGCCCCTTTTATGACCTGAGAACATTGTTACAATCAATGATGTCCTTCTGAAATGAGTAATGTTGGAAACAGAGCTGCCAATTTGCACCCATAAAGGGAAATGGAGACAGTGAGGGGAGGTTTGGTGAGTTGTTTGAGGGATGAATGTTGACCAGGACTCCGGATGGAAATCCCCCTCCCCCTTCTCTTGGAAATAGTGAGGGATTTATTATGTCACTGAGAGGGAACGTGGGCTTTTTGATTTATAGTTTCATCCCAAAGATGGCACTCCCAAAGGTGCAGCACCTCTGTCAGTACTCCTGCAGGGAATGTCAGCTTGGATCCAGACCACCAGGTGAATGTGGATACAAAAAGGACTAAAAAGTGGAAATCTGTGTGTGCAGTTAGGAGCAGAAAGCCTGTCCTCTGTTGAGAATTCATGTTGATTTTCGATTTACTCCACAGACCCACAAGTGAGACCCTGATGAAAGGAATTGAGGAAGTGACTGCCCAATTGCCGAAGCACTCGAGCACTGAATCATACTCCCGGAATTCTGAATTTGAAATCCCGACCAGCCCGCCCTTGAATTTCCAGGAACAGCACACGGCTGGGGTGAAAATCTGGCAGAACCACAATCCCACCGTGGCCCAGCTTACCCAGAATTCCCCAGCTCATGCTGCTCCTTTCCAGAATCCATCAGGAATGGGCCAGGGGGTCATAACCCACAACTCATTGGAGGAGGCGCCAGTAGCACCAAGCAAGAGGAACATGGACCAAACTATCTCTGTGGAAGTAAGATATTAACATTTAAGAACTTAGAAGTTCTGGCATCTTCTTGGGCACCACAGGGTGCTGAATTTGCATGCTGTGGTTTTTTGGGTCATTGGCCACCTGGGTAATGAATGTTGGCCAGCCAGCAAAACTCACCTGTGATGAATGAATGAAAAAGGATCTTCACAATGGCCTTTCATACAAGGATTTGTTTTCCAGAAATGAGGAAAATCACATTTGGGTCTTTATTGTTACTTGGAGACATGAAATGTGAGATCCCATCACCTTCCCTAACCCTGACCTGGAATAAATTTCTGTTGAGAAATGTGGAGGTCAGTCTCTTCTTCTCTGAGGCCATGGAAGCTCAGGCTGTCAGTGTTCAGTCAGGAACAGGGTGTGGAGGGTTGACCACCAACTGTACCAGGCCAACCTGCTGTTGCTGGAGAGCGTTGGGGGAGGGGGATTCCTATTTAGGCACTGAGCACACTGCCATAAGGACAGTATGGTTAGTGGTGAGAAGCAGCGTTATGGGAGGACCCCACCACTCCACACTGAACCTCACATTGACACCCCTGCACTCCCAATGGCACTGCTAGGACTTGGAGCTGCCAATCCTGTGATTGGTCAGTTCGTCTCAGCTGTAGGAGGTGTGATCTTCACCTGTAAAGCAGGACATAAAGTTCAGTCCCAAAATGTCAATGATGCAGAGGCAGGAATCCTATCACTGAGCCAATCAGGGCTTGGTCGCAGGGTCTAACTATTTACACACAGTTCAATTTTGGTTTTGCTGAAGAAAGTGATATTGGTTTCTCCCATTCTACTCTCTGTGTGTGTGTGTGCGCGCGCGCGCGGGTGTGTCGGTGTGTGTGCGTGGCTGTGACATGTATCTGTGTGGGTGTGTGCACGCGCGCTGGTGGGTGTTTGTGTGTGTGTGGGTTGAACATGTGTCTGTGTCTGTGTGTGTGTGCGCACGTGGGTGTGACGTGTGTGTGTGTCTGTGAGAGAGAGAGATACTGGTGTATGGGAGTGGGTGTGACGGTGTGTCAGGGTGTGGGGTGTGTGTGTGTGACGTGTGTGCGTGTGTGACTGTGTGTGTGTGTGTGTGTGACTGTGTGTGTGTCTGTGTGACTGTGTGTGTGTGTGACGGTGTCTGTGTGTGTGACTGTGTGTGACTGTGACTGTGTGACTGTGTCTGTGACTGTGTGTCTGTGTCTGTGTCTGTGTGACTGCGTGTGTGTGTGTGTGTGTGAGAATGTGTGTGTGTGTCTCTCTGTGTGTGACTGTGTGTGTGTGTGTGTGTGTGTGTGTGTGACTGTGTGTGTGTGTCTGTGTGTGTGACTGTGTGTGGCTGTGACTGTGTCTGTGTGTGTGTGACTGTGTGTGTGTGGCTGTGACTGTGACTGTGTGTGTGTGACTGTGTGTGTGTGACTGTGACTGTGTCTGTGTGTGTGACTGTGAATGTGTGTGTGACTGTGTGTCTGTGTGTGTGACTATGTGACTGTGTCTGTGACTGTGTGTGTGACTGTGACTGTGACTGTGTGTGTGTGACTATGACTGTGTGTGTGTGACTGTGACTGTGTCTGTGTGTGCGTGTGTGACTGTGATTGTGTGTGTGTCTGTGTGTGTGTGTCTGTGACTGTGTGTGTCTGTGACTGTGACTGTCACTACGTGACTGTGTGTGTGACTGTGTCTGTGTGTGTGTGTGTGACTGTGACTGTGTGTGACTGTGTGTCTGTGTGTGTGTGTGGCTGTGACATGTATCTGTGTATGCATGTGTGTGTGTGAGATGTGTGTCTGTGTGTGCATGGTGTGTGCACGCACGCTGGTGGGTGTGTTTGTGTGTGTGTGGGTTGAACATGTGTTTGTGTGTGTGTGCGCACGTGGGTGTGACGTGTCTGTGAGAGAGAGAGATAGTGGTGTATGTGAGTGGGTGTGACGATGTGTCAGGGTGTGGGGGG